CATTTTAACATAATCACTTCTTTAAAGGCCTTATCTCCAAATAGTCACATTCTGAGGTACTAGGGGTGAGGGCTTCAAAAATAGGAACTTCAGAAGGATGCAAATCAACACATTACTACGGGTCAAACAGGTGAGTTGAGTGTGGTTGTGATGGCAATCACCAACTCTTGTAAGTCTTTGATAGTGACACTATCAAAATGTGGCATTGCTTTTCTGTTTTTGGTAGATTTCTGCTTGACCTTTCCTACTTCCTCATTTCAACTCTGAGAGTTAGGGAGTCAGTATGGTGATTCTCCCAGATAGTCTGATTCTACCAACTGTGCTTTCAGAAAAGGGCCAAGGAATGCTAAGTGAAATAAACCAATCCCAGAAAACCAAAGGCCCAGTGTTCCCTCTGATATGCAGATGCTCACTCACAATAAGGGAGGGAGAGGGAAGAATAGAAGTTCTTTGGATGAGATAGAGGGGAATGAAGGGAAGGGAGGGGCGATGGGGATAGGAAAGACAGTAGAATGAACCAGACATAACTTTCCCATGTTCATATATGAATACACTAGTGACAATCCACATCATGTACAACCATAAGAAGGGGAAGTTATACTCCAGGTATGTATGATATGTCAGAATTCACTTTACTGTCATGTATAGCTAAAAACAAATAAAAAAATAAAAATAAAAACAAAATTTAAAAAGTGGGGGGCATGCTGTGCCTCACCATGAGGGACTTGGGTTTGAACTGCACATTAAATCACTGTTTGTTTTAGTTTACCATTTTCAGGTGTACTTTGGCTATTTTTTCTATCTTTCGGAATGACTTTGTGTCTGTTTTGCAATATATAGAATAGAGATGGATTTGCCTTTTGAGATGTAGTCTAAAAAATATTTTTCTTTTAATATATGAATACTCTTTTATGTTTATTGATATTGACATGTTTGGTTAGAGTTCTTTTGTAATATTTTATGATATGTTACTTTTCTACATTATTGTAGTTACTGACTGAACTTTCCTTCTTCAGGCTAGAAGTTTTAATAAGTAGTATGTTAAAAATTGGATGTATGTACTGTGAAGTACAAACAAATTTACTATTAAAGTATATCTACTTTGAATTATCTTCAGTAAATTATCAGGAGCATCCTAGAACCTTCTCTCCTCTGCAGGTGGGTACTGGGCCCTTGGCAGTTGCCAATGGGAATACTCAGCCTCAGTTAGGAAGGGGTTGTAATTAAGAAAAAATAAATAGAGGAAGAGTATGTATGTGTATGTGCATGTTAGGGTATTCGTGCAGGTGTAGGCGTGTGTGTGTGTGTGTGTGTGTGTGTGTGTTGGTGTGTGTTATTGGTTGTGGGATTGTTCTTGACTGAGAGTAAAGAAGAACATCAGGTATTTGGGTACTTTA